ACTAAACCGACAAGCCATTTAACCATGAAGAGAGTGGTTTGGCATCTTGGATGGCTTGGGGCCAAACCAATCCTAGGGGGAAAGGAATGGCTTGGAGGTTTAGTGGTTCGGGGGCGCACGTGGCCTATCATAGGAAATGACTCAATAATTTCGTGGCTCTGGGCCCCACCAGTCATGGAGGCTTAACGACTTGTGTCACCAGGGCTGTGGTTTATGCACTTGGTGGGTTTCATGGCACGCCTGATCTTCAGTGATTCGAAAAGTTGAAAAGCGTGCTTTCCGGGTTCCTGTGCTTCAACAGCTCGTATGGGCAGCAGCGGCAGTCGGCAATGCGAGGCTTTTCAATGCAATTCGAGCGCCAGGCCTTGACAGCTGGATCTACTCGCCTTATACGGTCCATGTAGTCTTCCTCGGCTGCTCATCCGAACGATAGGCATGGGCGCAGTCAGCTTCTCGTTGCCCTTAAACACTGGTCATCATGCAAGCTGCCAGAGTCTGAGGCATGTCGAAGTTCACCATCCTGAGACAGTTTACATGCTGTCAGGCAGTTTGGCGGGCCAGCAACTGTTGCATGAGAAGTAATTGCGACTGCTGTGCAGCTCAGGGCTCATGTTGGCAGCTGATGCATCCTCATTATGCCGAAGCTGTGACTCGGAGATGATACCAGCGCATTCGCGGAGCTCCTTTCTCAAGCCAAACCGGTAGACCGTGACGGATCGATGATGAATCTCGCACTGCCACGGGGCAGAATCAACCATGCGGGTCCTTGAATCGCTTGGATTCCTGTAGACTGAGAAAAGAACAGCTGGTCTCAGAAATAAACCTGGAGATACCGAGATACCTAGAGTCCACACACTGAATTACGAAGAGCACATAGAACACGAGCAGGGGTCAAAGCAGGGTCCGACGCTCCGGCCTCGCGGCACGCTCCTAACCAATGAAACCTGCTTTGTCTTAGCCGCGGACGGGTAGTCTACGCATGTCTACGCATATTAGAGCCATGCCAACGCTCAACCACAACGCATCAAGGCTGAGCACAAGTTTAAAGCAGCTGCTGCGCGCAGCTCGGTGAAGTCAGGAACAGTCGATGGAGCTGGCGGCTTCTCGCGCATTCAACACAGCGACCCACCACCTGCCTTGTCCTGCTGCATTGTGACCAACTGGTACTGAACGGCTTTCGACATCTGCAAGACTTTGCGCAAACCGAGAGCACGCCTTGTCAGGTGAATGATGTCATCGCGCATCTTGATAGGACATGTGTTGCACAATGTTGCACATCTGTGCTACAACATCGTTGTGCATCTGCATACATTCTGTCGTGCGCCAAATCCCCTTGCAGCCATGCTGCTCGTCCGAGCTCGTGACTATCAGGATTCGAAAGTCTGTGCTGTCGTACCTCAACCACGCAATGCCCATGTTGGCACAGGTCAGCCTACACCGGCCTCCAAGCCCTCTGCAGAACTCAGCAGACTTTGCTAACAAGGTACATCAGCTGATCGAGGAAAAAATCCAAAACCGCACGTTTATCCTGGTCATGGATCCGATCGCATCCCGAGCGCCGTGTCTGCTCGGACAGAACGGTTTGTCTGGCCTTCTCCTCGATTCTAGCATACTGCTGGTGCCTGCCAACTTTTCACTGCCACAAGGGGTGCAGTCTGAGATGCAAAGACAGCACGTGAAAGCAGGATGTTGAGGCGTCTGCTGCTTATTGAGAAACTGTGTGTATTCTGGTGGCGTCGGCGTTGCACTTGCAGGCAATTGCGCTGGCAGCCTTCGTTCGTTGCGGAAGTGCACCATGGATTGAGGTTTGGCGGATACTGACTCGCCACACATTGACGTGACATGCATTGCTCGCCCTCCATCAGCTAACATCTGCCAGACAGAGTTGGGCCCAGAAGCTCTTCTGCTGAAGGTTTCGCTGGCTTAGCTGATCCTGACAGAGCCGTGTGCTAATCTTAGCTTTCCCTAACTGTGGAAGCGCTGTGCGACGGTGATCATTTATGCACGGCCACCCTTCTTCTGCGCTTTGCCCCTTCTTTTCTTCGGCTTCTTGACATCGCTCTTCCTAGCCGGCAAGCAGACCAACGAAAGGCTGACAGACGCTCGCCGAGGCGACACAAGTGCTCCAGCACCCAATGCCCTGGACTCCTGAAATTCCGCCACCATCGCTGCAAGCAAAGGGCTGCTGCGGCACGTTGCCGCTCGCGCCTCAGCGGTCAGACGTCTTTTCTTCTAGCTCAGCTCTCGAATGTTCGAGATCCCGGAGGACGAGAAGACCAAACGACTGATCCAGTAGCATGGCCCAGGCACGCGATTCTGGATCGCACCGCACGCTGCAGGCGGCGGGCAGCAAGCTCCTCAAGCGAACTGCACAAGGGGTACAGGAGTGTATGCACACCGCCTTCCGCGGCCTGCTTCTCCGCGGCCTGCCGCCGAAGGCTTTCTAACAAGGCCTCCGACAAAGCAGTTGCTGCAATTCATCTTCAACTGGACATGTCAATTCAACCGCTGTCTGCCTGGGCTTCTTCAGAATGATGCCGAAGCGCCTCAGCCTCTGTCCTAGCTTCTGCCAGGGATGCCTGACCATGCTATCCGCAAGTCGCAGTTCAAACAGACCGCAGGAACATCAATGCGGTCGAATTGACATGTCTGCTTGCTGGGCCCAGAGGAGAATGCAGCGTTCTCCGAAGGAGGGGCCAGCTGTGGTGGGAAGGAAATGTTTATCGAACACTCTACGACTCTACAGCCAAACCGATCCGATGAGACTTCGCAAGCCGACAAGAAAAAACAGATGCGCATATCAGAATCTGAACAGCAAATCTAGGCTTCCAACACATGTGACACATCTGGTCTTTGCATGCCACGTTTCAGGCGGTTGACACCGCATTTAAGCCCGTCTCGCATCACGTTGAATTGTGCGGTCTGCCGGATGGATCGAACTCCCGATCAGTAAGGCCGGAAGGAACCCAGTTCTTCCAGAATACGATGTGTGGAGGATTTGGGTTCGGAGTTTGATAGTTGCGCTTCAGTCTTCAGCACCACTAATTCAAACATAGTCCTTTGGTGGAGTCGCAGCAACTTTCAGCGAACGAGGATCGAAATACTTTCTCAAATGCAGAGATTGGACATCAAGGCGAAACATGACAGCAGAGAGCCAAATCATCTGTTGGGTGAGATCTGCCTCCAGGATTGCAACTCGACGCAGCCATGGAGTGCCTGTTCAGAAGATCTGCCTGTTTGACCCCTTTTGCAAGTCACGGCATGGCCTGGCATCTCCGCCTCTCCCATTGCCTGGAAGAGAGGCAGTATAGTAACGGTAGTCACTACTATAGTCGCCGCAAAAACTCCCGTGCCGGGCGCATCCCCAGACAAATCGCCAGCTAGGGTTGGAATCTACGTGCCGTCGTTGCCGAACAGACGCCTGTTCCAGCTGCTCCGATGTCCGGTACCCGGCAGCGTTGCAGTGCTGGAGGAAGGCCTTGCGTGAATGCGTGCAGCTGGGCGCCAGGCACAAGGAGGTTGCAAGCCACGGCCTCCACTGCTTCTGCCAAAGGCCCCAGCCTCAAAGCCTGCATGGCAAACGGGATCTTACCGGCCCTTTGCGGCCACAATAGCTTCGAACCTGCTTCGGTTTGGAGGCTACGGACTTGTCGGACTTCTCGCGTGTCCGAAACCAATGCAGAGCAGCTTCCTCCTACAAGACAGATCAAGACAGCACCGCAGCAATGCTGCTTTGTTGAGGTGGGTCGAAAGCCTGAAGCCATCCCGGAATCTGATCCTCGTAAATGCATCCATCGCTCACCAAGAGCGGGCTCGTGATTGGACTGGAAGTTAATGGACCTTGCTGAATATTTCATGGAAGACTTGCAGCTATCCCTAAGGGCTTGGAGTAACAGCATCGATCGCTAGCCAAGATCTCGACACGTGTACATGCAGCCGGCATCAGTCAACGCCGTCTCCAGCTCACACCCGCCTCAGTGCAGGGGCGGCTCCGAAACAATACTTGTTAAGGGCGTGGATTGGCATGGTGCATCCACGCAGGATTTGGTCTCATGTGCTCAGCCAGTCTCGTTAACAAGCAGGCTTCAAACTTCCAGTGCAGGTTCTAAAAGTCTCTAAAGCGCGCGGGAGCTTTGGATGGTCAATCTGTAAGCTTGCGAAACCGGACCTTCGCGCCGTGTCATAAAAGACGCAGCCACTCAGAATATTGCCTTTTGGAGTGCCGGTACTGTACAGCACTACAGGTGCGACCTGAGGACCGGCTTATAGGAATCTGCCATTTGTTGCGCAGCTTATAGAGAATTATGGAGGGGCCTGGCATTTCCGCTGCCTGAACAGGGCATGACTTCTGAGCTCACCAAGAAGCCGACGAGCAGTCCATAGCTTCGACAAGCTTCTGCCAATCAGATCCGGTGCAAAATGGGCGGCGATGTCTATCCTGAGAACTTCGCCCTCTCAGCAAAGCCAGAAACACACCATACCGTACCAGACGCCCAATTCGCGCCAAGACTCAGAGACACGTCATTGCGCAACGGTGCCATTGCCAGCCCACGAACAAGAATGAACACAATAGGTGTTGCTTTGCTTGTCTACGGGGTACAGTACACATGCGAAGTCGGGCTGAGTGAGCTTCCTTGGCAGTCGTGTAAGATACCCTGCAAAGCTTATCTCGAGCCAGTCGAGCTCAGCTACATGAGGGAAAGCCGGATGAATGCACAGAAGCAGAGGCATGATGCAGCACGGCGCCACTGTTGTGAACAACAAGAAGGTGGGTTTTTTGATGCAGCGCAGCCACTTGTCAGCACTGAGAATCGGTCATGTGAAAAGCGCAACAGGTTTGGGATGAATGGCTGTGAAGCCCTTCACAGGGTACGCCACAGCAACAAATGCCAAGTTCAACGCTAAAGGTACTTGCGGTGACATCACGACGCTTTATACCCGGCACTTCACATGCATCAGCACAACGGGCCTTTGGCCTAGATTCTAGATTCTTCTAGATTCTACACGCTGCATGGTGATCTTGCATAGGTCTTGTTTGTCGACAGCTCGCCTGCACAAGCCGGCTGTCCAAGGTGATACGAGATCATGTCAATTTTCTGTCTTTTGGGGTTCAAATCACGGCTGCCTCTGTGCGTGTGTGCAGCCCTGTACATAGTGATATGGAAATTTCTGTTTCCAAACGTTTGCAGAGGTACACGCCAGCCACAGCTTAGCGCAAAGAAGCTGCGGTTGTGGCATGGGTTGCGGATGGGACTCAGCTGGGCTATCTGAGCAAAAGTGTCTTGTGACTGTTCTGTCTCTACGACATGGGGCCAGATCACAGGAGCATGTACCCGAGCCCACCATAGAGGAGTGGGACTGGAGCAGCTGCGGGCTAAGATGACTTATTCGCAAGTAAAGAAGCCTATTTTTTGGTCAACAAGAACAAATCTGAACTTGTTATGTGCACCGACCTCTGGGCACAGTTTCGTGCACAAGGCATTTACCTTGACGCCTTCGCGCAATGCAACAAAAAACAGAAATGCGCTCTCTCGCTTGCAGAAAGAGACTGTCCAATGTTTCATGCACAACACTGTCTTTCCCGACATATGTACCATGCACCAACAATTTCGCATCACACTAACTGCATGTCGGCAGAATGACCCTCCCAACGACTTTGAGAAAGCTTTCAGCAACCTCGCCGCCAAGCACCAAGCAGAGGCGCCCAACAGATACTACAACCACGTGATACACAAGTTTCGCTGTAAAACTGTAAAACCAAAGGAGGCACATGGCTTGTAGAGGATCATCATCCTCGCCGCAGCCGTGCGTTAATAATGCCCTGTGCCTTACCATGCCATGCTTGAAGAATTCAGGGCACTTACTGCAACACCCGCAAATTTTAATTACTCGCGTGTCCCATCATTTCCAAGACGAATTGGCCCAGCACTTCCCCTCCCCTGCGCAGCGCGTTACGCCACTGTTCGTGTCCTGTGCGTCTTGTGAGACATGTTTGTAACCCCGAATCCCCTGCAGCCCCTGACCCCGCTTGCCCATGATCCCGCTGCTGTTGGGATTCGACATTCCCAGTCTTTGCTGGCCTGTGTCGAGTGCAGACATCATAGACTATAGTCTATAGTTGAAGTGCAGGTTTGGGCCCCCCATTGACTTGTGGTGGTGTTGAGCTCGGTGTGGCACGAGTCCCCAAGTATCCCTAGTAAGAAGCAACAGGGTACGGGTATGGGCAGGCTTGGGCAGGCTTGGGCAGGCTGGCCCTGGCAAGTCGTGTCGTGAAGCATGAAGTCGGGGAACGGGAATTACTGCGTTCCAGCCCAAGCCGTGCATGGAGATCGTCGGTGCTCACAGTAAAGGTCTACGTCTACGTATCTCATGCCGCAAGATTACCGCAAGGAATGTTGTTCACCCCCTTCTGTGATTCCTGACATTTCCTGACTTTAGGCACCGTAATTCTACCGGGCATCCCGTATGACAAGGGCGATATCTACTGCATCCCCGTTTTCAGCGGTTCACTGGCATGTTCTTACACGGAAGCATAAGCCATTCAACGCTCAATCCCCCATGAGCTCTCCACCTGCCTCCCTGCGTCGCAGTGCAGAACTTCGGCAGCTCTCCATCTGTAAGTAGGTAGACTCTGCTTTCGCTGTACCGCACAGCGCCGGTAGCGCACCTGCTCCTTGGAAGTAGACGTGCACGTGCCACACCTTCAGTTGTCTGGGACATGGACCCGTGTCCCAAGGTGCGGACTGCAAGGATGCACAATGCTTGTGAGACGGACGTCGATAGTGCGCATCTGTCGATTGTCGTCGTAGTTCCAAGCCTTGGACAGCCCGCTTGGTTCCACGCTGTCTCTGTCAGAATCGCGCACGGATCGCTGAGGGACTGGGGCAGGTGCTGTGACGTTATGTGGTTGTCTGGCATTCAGCCAGCCCTCTGCAGCATGTCACACGAGCACACACAAGACACAACAGCAGAGTCATCTCACATCACAAATCAAACCCGCAGAAACAGCCTCGATGTAAACGCAGAGCGCATCGTGCTCCATGGTGCTCCTGACAGGCTGTGACACGCAAATGACCTGTTCGTCTGAATGGCATCATCGCAGCACTTTGCCTCGCCCAAATCGTCCAGTGTTCCATCCCAGGTGGCAGAGCGTAACTGAGGCAGTAGTGACGAGCTGGTGCAGTTTTGAGCTTACAACCGTGACAGGCTGAATCCGAAAGGGCACGGGAACATGTTCCGCTCGAGAAGAATTTCTCGCCTCGCTGCAACGTGCTTTGCAAGGAAGCTCCCGGCGGACACTTCTAGCAATAGGTACCCGCTTGAAGCGTTAAGTGTCTTCAGCTGAACTGAGCATGCCTTGCTTCACTATGCAGAGGAGCTGACAGTCATCCCATGCAGATCATGCAGCATCTGTAAAGGTGCAATTACATACTCTGAGCCTTTTAAAACGACTCATCAGCAGTTCGATAGCCACTTGCCACAGCACATAAGATGCAGAGTAACTATTTGCGACACAGAGTGTACGTCAACTCGGTAACATACGTGTATTCTTCAAGCCGGCCGAAATTTGGAATCGGCCTGCTCAGGAATCAGTTTGGCTGAGATCCAACTGGGGGCATACACCACTCCGCCTTTCTCTCGTTTTGTCTGGACATGTCTGGACATAAGTCGCAGGTTGGCAGTTCCGAATGGTCTGATCTCTCCAGATCTATACTCTCTGCATCCCCGCCTCTACCATGTTCATGCAGACCACCACAATGTCACAAGCATCATCACACTTGTCAAAAAGCTGAGAGCCAACCCTGCTAAGACCTCCTCCAGCACGTACTTTTCACGATCTCCTTTCTAGCCAGGTCGTAAAAAGAAGCACACAAGCATGGGGTGTGTTTGGCAAATCCTCGGTAGGTCTCATCCATCCACTTCAGCCTTCAACAAATGGCTAAAGATTGCTGCTTGAGGAGCTTCACAGCTGTAGTTATTGTTTAATCCCTGTATATGCACCTTGCGCTTTTGGCCTTCATCACTTCGTCGCTTCGCTTCCATGGACTGACACTCGAAGACTCGCAGTAGCTTTCCAAGCGAAGGTGCAGCGACAGTCAACACAGACAGGGTGACCCGATGCGAATGGTCCTGAGAGGTCTTGGAATTGCTGCTTCGAGACGGCTGCAGTCCGAGGGCCTCCGAGAGCCAGGTGTTGGAGACGGAGGACGGGCACCGGGAGGTGCCTCTGCGAATCTCTGTGTCCGGGCTTCGGAGTGAAAAGTATCTGATTATTTCATGCATGGTCCAGCCTCACCATAGCTGGGATCACCAGGACGAACTGTTGCTCGGCTCCTCATGCAACCCCAAGCCGCGGGCGTTCATGGCTTTTTCATACCAGTAAGGACATGGCCTGGGTGCAGGATACAGATAAAGATCCTGCGGATGGCTCAATATCAAGCAAATCATGGGCTGCCGCTGCTTTCGGAAAGCAAAGCTCATCAAGAAGGAAGTCCTCTTGTGCCCGTCGCAACTCGTGTCCGTTTGGATCCTAAGTACTTCCGGCTCCCTGGTGACTGGCGCGCCTCAACCAATGAAATCTGAGCTGGGTACCCAATTTTGCAGCCTTTCAGCCACGTCGACTGTAGCACGAAGCTCCTTCGGGACAAGAGGCAAGGGCGATGCATCAGCAACACAACAATACTGAAACAAAGCACGACATGAAATGGAACAAATGCGCAATCCTCGAAGCTGGCTTGCATGACCTTCGCTTTGTCAAGGATAATGTTTTCCGGGCACCACCTGGGGAATGTCGTTTCAACTGCAGCAGACGGAAAGTGGGAAAGCTTCCGAACAGGACCCTCGCTGCCCGCGTGACTTGGCACGATCCCGGTTCCGCAGCAAGGCAATCTGCAAGCAGAGCAGTTGTGCTGAAGTCTCGCTGTTTGAGAGGTACAGTCCAACCCAGCGTCATGGTGCACCTCCACTGGTACATCGACCCAAAGTAATTGGGTGTGGTAGCCTGCAAATGTCAAGTTGGCTTGCATGTCCGATCTGGCTTGACTCTCCGTGGCCTGCTCTCTGGTCGTGTTCGAGTTTCGCAATAACTTGGGGAGGTTCATCGTGATCGGCAAATATTGGCATGCGGGCTGGGCTGTGAGGTCTAGGTTTACTTCCTGGGCCTCTGGAACTCATGTTGCAAGCCTGTCGCCACAATGATTTTACCCAGGCTTTAGAAAGAAGTGTTTGTGGCTGTCAAACAGCTTCAGGGGCTTAGGCCTACGTGTACAATACCACAAGATTGGTTGTCTCACAGGCTAAGAGAACTGTGACGTCCATGGCTACGACAACACAACACAGACTGGCATGTGCACCAAACTGAGTAATAAATCTGCTGAGTGTGAGAGGTTGTCCGCCCGTGATCAACCCAGACCTTGCAAATGACTACAAAGCACACTGCGTGCCTGCATCACGAGCAGTTTCTAGTCGTCGAGCCAACCACTGCCTTTACTTCACAGCGATTTGGAGGCGGAGTCGTGCAAAAAAACGGACGCAAGCTTGCACGAGCCCTTACACATCGAATCGGAATGCATCAACTCATTCCCTAAAACCTCTGCTCGAACACAGGCGGCTTGAACTTGATTTCGGTTACTTGCTGCAGATGCGAAGCTGGGTAGCTGATTTCGGTTACTTGCTGCAGATGCGAAGCTGGGTAGCTTGGACATGGTCCAGGTGGTTTTGAGTATTCTTTGGTTTTTTCTTGTTATTTTGGTGGTGTTTTCGGTTCAATCCATAGTATACAAAACTTGCAAGAGTCACAGGGATGGCGGCAACTGAGGCTGTATACGAGGTCCTTTCTGGTGCACGTTGTTGTACTTTTATAGTTTTCGGCCTACTGGTCTTCGGCCGCCCTCGATCGGTCACTCAGTCTGTAAATCCGGCAGGCCGACTGCCGGCCCCGCCAGTGTACCCGGTTGCCTTCCGTGCCAGTTCAGGCTCTGGGCGTCCGGGCTTTGTGGCTTTACGTTCTTGATGGCGCGATGTTCTTTAGAGCAAGCTCGGTCCAAAGAAGATATCGTGGGGGGTTGGGCCTGAAGGACGGGCTTTGCAAGACCTCATACGAGTTATGTGCTTAGCGTTCTTGACGTTACGACGTACGTTCACAGGCGTTAAGAAAGCGGGGGTGGGTGCGGGCAGCCCCCCCCATTTGCAAACGCAATGCGACGGGGACTGGCGGTTCATCACATCTTGAACACCCGCGTTCGTTTGACGATTCGGTTCAGCACACACGCCCCCTCATTTGGCGATTCCGGTTCATCACATATCTTGAGCATGCCCCCATTTTTGGCGATTCCGGTTGCTCATGGTTCCTCATACATCTTAAGCCGCTCGTTTGGCGATTCCGGTTCATGAAAAACCTGTTAAACTGCACTGCGGAATTTGGGAGCGCGGCGAGTTGGAGCCGGAAGAGTCGAAGAGAACATTCCGCCTCCTGGATCTGAAGGAAGGGCCACTGAGCCGCTTTCCCCTTGCAACTGTCCATGACTGTCCTTGAATCTCTTACGGCATCCTCGAAAGCATCCACAGCTCGGCGGACCTGGTATTTGCAAGACTCAAGTTTCGCTGGGCATCTTTCCCGAGTCCAGAACGCTCCAACGGTGAACCTCGGTGTCGGTCTCCTGTCCCACAACACCAGTCAATCCCTGTGGCACCCGTGATACCTGTGGCCCATGGCTGTGGCAAGTCCTCACTCATGTTGCTGGAACAGTCTTTGTGATATCTCTTCAACTGGTCGGGCTCCACGTTGACCTGCACTCGGTTGTACTGAGTCAGCGAGGTCATTGCAGGACTGAGCCGCAAGCAAAAAGCTCCTCACTCATCCTCTCTTTTTTGACCTTCAACAGCTGTTTTCGCACAACTGACCATGCGTGCACACTGACAAACGAAGACTTGGTCTTGGAAGCTCGCGGTTGACTTTCCAGCCCCAGGCCTTAGCCGATCGGCTTCCGTCCAGCACAATCCCTCACCCTCGTTCATCTCTCTGACCTCTGCTCTTAGCCGTGGACAGTCCCATCAGGAACAAAGCCTTTGGTTGGCCTGAAAACAGCAACAAAAAGCCAAATATTGTGAAAAAAGGGCGGTACCAGTAGTAGCTTCCTGCCTCGGCCTGTGCTCGCCGCTCCGGTGGAGGCCTGTGAGTCTGCTCAGGGATTCGTCAAAAGTCTAAATCCGCCCCTGAATGCATCCAGGAGATTTTGCATAGAGGGGCACGCTACAAGCGTGCGCTCCACTATTGGATTCGATTCCATGTGGGTGGTGATTCGTGGGGTTAGCATTTAAGCGGGGTTGCAATAGTTGCTGGCAGAGGGCAGCGGCGGCGCTGGTGCTGGTGCTGCCGCTTTAGTTGGTTCATCTACTCGCGGTGCTACTGTACAGCACAAGCAGTTGGCTGTTAGCGCGAGCACGTCTGCTCGGCTTGGTGTGCAAGATGGTGCGAGAGAGACAGAGAGAGGACAGACAGACAGACCGACAGACCGACCGACAGACCGACCATAGCCCCCCTTTTAAGGGGGGGGGGAGTGGGGGGGGGTCTGAGAGGAAATTGGGTTGT